GGGAGGGAGGGAGGTCGGGATGGAGTCGAGGGGGAGGGAGAGAGGGAGGCGATAGGGGAGGCGGTGGGCGTTCTGATGAGTGGAAGAGAGCGCGCTTATCGTGAGCTATTTGTGACACCGTCGGCAGAATGATCCGAGTGGCCAGAGGGGCGGTGCCGAGGCTTGCGGCGGACGCTTTTCGTCCGGGTGCCCTGCGGGAAGAGAAAAATCAAGTTTGGCAAAGTCGGCGACGACCCGGTTCAAGGATCGCCGCCGAATTGCGGGGCGTGCGTGCGTGCGTGCGTGCGCGCGATGTTTGCGGTGAACGTATCGTCGGCGATGCTGTGGATGAACGGAGAGAACTGTCCGCCCCAGACCGGGTCGCGGTGTGTCGGAACCGGCCACTTTAAGACCTCCTCTTGCAGGTATAATACAACGTGTTTTATTCCGGCACGATGTCCGACGTTTCACTGCACTTGCCCCGGGGCGGGGGTGGGGGGAGGGGTGTGCTGGGGGGGAAGCTTCTTCAGGACTTGGAAGTGACCACGTCACGCCGGACAGACATCGCGTTGTACAATCCGACAAGACAGCGGAGAGCCGTAGGTTTGTTTTGTGCGAGCCTCGAAGTGTCCCCATTTGGGTAGTGTTTGAATGTTTACGTGTGTGTGTGTATGTTGAACTTCTTTCGCACCATACGTAGCTAACTCCTAATCGGAGGTGCATGCGTGTATGTATGTTGAACTTCTTTAGCACTGTACGTCGCCAACCGTGCTAATCGGAGGTGCTAAGGGAGGGGAAGGACAACAAATTAAACGTAACATCAAGCACTTCTAAATACATCAGTTAGTCCATGGAGATGATTTAAAAGTGCACCGCTCCCAGTGGCTTCCTAATATACTGGAACGAAGAGTGTTTCCAGACGGCCACAGAAGCGCGTTTGGAAAGCTCGGCGATTTTTGATGTCGTGTGTGCGCGTGCGTTTTTTTTGCGTGCTCAGACCGCTTCAACGTATTGCGCTGTCGTACAGCACGGGGCCTAGCCTTAAGTTGACTTAGCCTAGAAAGGGGACCTGGTGAAGTGTGGTCGCGACTCGCATTGACAAATCATGGGGCGGGTGCGTGGGGTGGGGTTGACTGTGCGCGCACCACACGGATGGCTAACTCGGGTTCGAATCCGGTCTTGGATCTGTCGCCAACCCCTGAGCCTCCCGGCCATCTCCCGGTGGTAACGATGAGTTGTTAACCCCTGTGAATTCCCCTGCCCACACCAACGCCGCTCTTCACTAAGCGAGGGCCCGCTGAAGGGGTGCCATGGTGGCGGGATGTTAACTCCCTCGCCTGGTATACAGGAGGTCGTGGTACTGGCAAAGGAGGTCTAATGATGTAGATGCTTACCCCGAGCCCTCATTACTTTGATAGTGGCATTGTCTTTGAGCTGTACGCCTTTTGGCGTCCTCTGGTCTAGCACCAATTGAGACGAGGCTCAAAAGAAAGCCGTCTCTGGTGTGGACCAATCAGTTTCAAGGACAATGCCACAGATATTATCAGAGTGTTTTTTGTTTGCATTTTGACCACAAGTATTGTGGAAAATGCAAACATGATTCCTTGTAAAAAGGTTTCAGTTTTGTTGCCAGAAAAAAGGGGGAAAACTATTATTATTAGGAGGTCGTGGGTTCGATCCCGACCCTGACGCCTGCTGTATATTTGGAGTTTGCGTGTTTCTCTCTCTGCCCGTGGTCGCGTGGATTTTTCTCTGGGTTCCTCCCGTCTTTCCCTCCGCGTTGAGAATCAACGCCACGCTTTCAGAGTATTTGGCTGCTATACACTTCCACACGATGATAAGCCACTTCGTTGAGCTATCATTTGTGGACAGGTCGCTTCTGAAAATGAGTTGTATAGCTCAGTGGGCCTTACCTGGAAATATAAAAATAAATTATCGTTTAAATAGTTTAGATTTAATTCCACGCAGCCATTGGTTGCACGGTTGCTTTCGTTAACCCTTTCCCGTTCGTCATCAGACGAAAGATAAAAAAAAACTTTATCGGTACCGAGGCTCCCACAATGCCACGCAGGAGGGCGTTTGGCACAGTTTTGCGCCGGCTATCGTAGAGTGGCGGCGGTCGTGTCGCTATCTTTCCCCGCGGTACAGTAACGACGTCTTTATAAAAACAACGGCGCTGCTGCTACTACGCCTCTCCAAATAAAATGAACGCCCGAGCCACTCGCGCGTTTCGAGATTCGTCGGTGTGAACGGAGAAAAAAACACCCAGCCAAACCCACACCCTGCAAACTTGCGGACATCGCGGATCGGGAAAAAGGATTTGAGTTGGAAAATTCCGCTACGCAGCGGACGGTTAGCACGGGCAGTGTCCCACGGAGCGAGTGTCTACCGGGCAGCGGTGCCCCCCGCGCCCTCCGGTGGCAATAGGGGAGTCTCTCGTCACGCAACGCAGGAGGCACCAACGGAATCCGCTCGGTGACCACCCGTCACCCACCCCCCGCAGATGCCCTCGCGAAAACGCGCGACTGGATTTGCCAAATGCGACGAGTGCCGTGCGCGAAAGGGAGCGAGTGGCCAGTCGAACCGTGAACTCCGGGGCAAAGCGGCCCAGGGGTACGCACGGAGCCAAAGTGCTCTCCTGTCTTAACAAGGACAGAGTCGAGTTAATTTTTCGCAAAATCTCAAATCCATGAGCCCGTTGCGCAAACTCCACGTTCCCACGGACCGTGGCACGGTTCCACCCCCCGAATGATGAGCACAGTTTTATTTTTAATCTTTTTTATTAAATCGTCTACATTTAAAACGAAAATGTTTTTGTGTTCAGTTCATTGTCCTTCCCGGCGCGCACCTCCGATAAGCAGGGTTGGGCTACGTACTGTGCGAAAGAAGTTCAGCACACATACGTGGGGAATATGTTGTGGGCAGCAAAAATGATTTGTTGTATTGCACTTCTGTGCTTCATCGAAATACGAAGGGGAATTCTCCATTCTGCACCCTGTGACTTCTCGCGAAATTGCATTCATTTGAATCATCAAGGAGGGAGCGGGATCTGAACTTGCCAACCGCGCTAACTGCTGCTGCCCCACTCGGCTCGAACCGTACACGCGCAGAGCACGCCGTGTGTGTCAAAAATTCAGGGGGGGGGGGGGGGGGGGAGTCGCCAGTGTGGTCGACCTCCCCGGCGGTGTGGCGGGTTGAGACGCAACGGCGCGGCATTTCTTAAAATCCCGCCCGAGTTTGTCCGCCCAGCAGTGTAAAATAAAAAATAAAAACTCAAAAAATGTTTTTTTTATTTTTATTTCACCCGATGTTTCGGCCCCGCAGAGCTGTGTAGCTGTTTTTTTCAGAAGCGACCTGGCCGCCAAATGGTAGCTCGACGGAGTGGCTCATCGTGCGGAAATGTACAGCAACCAAACACTCGAAGTGCGTGATGTTGAGCCTCAATGTGGAGGAGAAAAACTGAGGGACCCGGAGAAAGATCCACACAACCACGGTGAGAGAGACATTCTAATTCAAAATATAACAGCGGACGTCAGGGTCGGGCTCGAACCCACGACCTCCTACATGCCAGGCGAGGGAGTTAACATCTCGCCACTGATCGGCGGGACTTATTTAGGCCAAACGCCCTCTAAAGAGGCCCCTCTCTAAAGCTGCCCCCTCGTGGTGGGCCCTTCCGCCAAGTGGTGGCATCGGCAAACGTTTGCAGGGCCGCATCTTCGCCTTGTATACGCGTAAACACAGCGGTTGATGCAGAGATTTGGGTCCTAGACTATAGACTTCCGGCAGTTCACCAGCATTGGCTTAAGCCGCGGCGGTCGGCACCCGACATGTATGTTGAACTTCTTTCGCGCTGCTCATAGCCAACGGTGCTGATCGGAGGTGAGGATAATGGTACTGATGCTGACGCGGCGCTGATGATGGTGGTAGCGATGGTGACTATGGTGCTGATGCCGATGGTACCAATTGGTGGTGGTGGTAGCAATGATGATGGTGATGATGATTGTAAGCGATAGTGACGATGGTGCTGCTGCTGCTGCTGATGATGACGGTAACATCACGAAGCAGTCCCCCGGAAGGGCCGCAGGATCGCCGAACCCTGGCTCGAGCAATCCCGACCGTTGACGAGACACCGCACGTCCGAAACCCGATGGAGGGGTTCCGCTTGCGTTGAGCCAACGTTGCTGGAAACAAATCGCTTCCCGGGATGCTGTTCGTCGCGCGGCCGATGGGTCGTGTGTTTAGATGTTTCAAGTCGAGGAACCAAAGGAAGAGAGGATAGAAACAGGTTTGGGACGAAGGGGGGGGTGGGTTGTTCTTCATGTGCCAGCCTATGACCATCCGACGAATTTCCCAACAGATAACGGTTGAGTTTGTTGTACAACGCTGGAGGTGGTGTGTTGTGCGTGTGGGTCAACACAGGTGTGTGTTTAAGCCACCGTTTGTTCCATTTTGCTTTTCCCCTGAGTCGCAAAGGGAATTCGTGCTTCTAACGGTGTTTGGCCAGAACTTGGACCAGATTTATACAGTGTAGTGTGCAGGTGGTCCATGAATTCACCATTCATCATCATCATCATTATTATTAAAGGGGATCGAATAAGACCAAGCGGTTAGAGCCGCGTGGGTTGGATGTTGGGTGCGGGTGGGGGGGGAGTCACGTGACAAAGATAAAGGCCGTCGCCGTGAAAACCCAAACCCGCTCGAGCCTGCGGTGAGTGTGCATCAGTAGCCGCTGGCGTGCCCCTTCACGGCCACGACCCCCATGGGGTGGACATTCCACGTTGCTCGTGGCACCACCGCCGCCGCAGCGCCACGCGGGAGATTCCACGCCCTGCGCGGTGATGGCGGCGGCGTGCCACGGCGTGCCACGGCCTTGCTGGGCGCTGCTCGCTGTGACGGCGCTTTACACCGCCCCCCCCCCCCCAAACCAGTCTGTTGAGGCTACAACGGTGGTGGTGGTGGTGTGGGGGGGGGGGGGGAGCTGCTGGTGGGGTATGTGACACCTCTGGTCCGTGCGTGTGCAGGGAAGCGAGACGAGTGGTGCTGCACAAGGCCTCCTCGGGCCTCGGCTTCAACATCGTCGGGGGCGAGGACGGGGAGGGAATCTTCGTCTCCTTCATCCTCGCGGGCGGCCCGGCGGACCTCAGTGGGGAGCTGCGGCGTGGCGATCAGATCCTCTCGGTACGTCTCGCCCCCCACCCCGCCCCCCCGCCAACCACACCTCGCGCATCGTTACGACCGGCGGGCGTATGCAGGTGTCGTGTTTATTATGACGAATAAACTTCTTGTGAGGCACACTCTGTTTATTGTAATACTTCTCTTTAAAAAAGTCCTTAACACACAGAGGGGTATACGGTCCCCTCACCCGATACTCTAAGAAGGTACAGCCTCCGGACTTAGCGTGACCTACACACAGGTCTCTTGATACCCTAAGGAGGTACAGCCTCCTATCTTGGCGGGACTTACACGTCTACCGCTATCCTAGAGTCCTCCGGATTGGACCTAGGGGAGGCTATCTGACCCACCGCTGGCCCGGTAGGTCTTGACCACTGGGTACGCCGAGCCTTATCCCTCAGAAGGGCTGGAAGGCTGGGTCCAGGGTCCTGGCTATCTTCAGCCCGGGCTTCGGTCTTCGTGTAGGGAGAGAATTCCCCGTGCTCTGCGCGCTCACCCTTCTTATACCCGTTTGTGGCCAGGTGTAACCAATCCCACATTCCCACGTGGAACTCTCTGATTGGTTCTTACCAAACTGTGGCTACGATCCACTTGACCTCGTGTGACCCCAACCGTTGTGTACACAGAGGTAACGCTGCACTGCCCCTTTGATACCTAGTGGCAATGCAGGTTTCCCGAACAGTGAGTAGTTAACACCTCTACACAGGTACGGCGGGCATGCGGGCAAAACCCGAGATTTGTTTCTAACGCCCCCGCGGTTCAGGAGCCCCCGGCGAGCAATAAGAGGGTGGGCCGGGTGGCCACCTCTGTTGAGCGATAGGGGGTTGCCAGGGAGGCACCTCTGTTGAGCGATAGGGGGTTGCCAGGTGGCACCTCTGTTGAGCGATAGGGGGTTGCCAGGGAGGCACCTCTGTTGAGCGATAGGGGGTTGCCAGGGTGGCACCTCTGTTGAGCGATAGGGGGTTGCCAGGTGGCACCTCTGTTGAGCGATAGGGGGTTGCCAGGGTGGCACCTCTGAGCGATAGGGGGTTGCCAGGGTGGCACCTCTGAGCGATAGGGGGTTGCCAGGTGGCATCTCTTTTCGGTGATAAGAGGGTGGGCCGGGTGGCACCTCTGTTGAGCGATAGGGGGTTGCCAGGGTGGCACCTCTGAGCCACCTCGGCCACAACTCGGACGCGTTTTGGCCGGACGCGCGAATAAATGCCACGAACGTTGGTAATGCTCTCCGAGAATACGGCGAAGAGTGCCGTGATGCGTTGGATTTGGCCCTCGGTCGGTCTCTGTCTGTCTCGGGGGTGGGCACCGTGCAGGGAGCGATGGCGCAGCGGTTAGCGCTCTGCGCGACGCTACGAACCGGGTGACCCGAGTTCGATTCCCGCTCACGGCCAACACCACCAGCGACGGTTATCTGAACCGATCATGGGACTCTCATTGAGTACCTGGTGCGGTCTGTCAACATCGCCACTAGGGAGACACAAAGGTGGCCCCTTTGGTGTGCTGTGTTGGCCCTCATAGGTGCTGTTCTCTAACAGCACTGGCCCCAACAGTCTATTAACGCTATATGGGGGATTTTTGTGGCCAGCACCACAGGGCTGAAATAGCTCCACGTATGTTTGCCCGGTTCTCTGCCTTTCCATGCAGCCTATATTTCTGTCTGCTGGCCAGCGTATCATTCACGTATGTGTGCAATGCTTGCAATCATTCATTCATGACTGTACGTATTTCCGAAGTCAATAATTGAGTTTCTTGAATTTTTTACATCTTTTTGTTGTGCCCGAGGCTCTCGGCTCTCATTAAATTCGCCGGCAGCACATCTGCCAACTGACCCCAATTCATCCTGAACACGTCCCCGATCCCATCTGATCTCAGAAGCCAAGCAGGGATTTGAGCCTGGCTAGTAATTGGATCTAAGGCCACCAAGGGCTTTGCCAGGTGTTGGGCCACCACGGTGGCTAGGAGATGTTAACTGCCTCGCCGAGTATGCTGGAGGTCGTGGGTTCGATCCCCACCCTTGACGGTGCGTGCTGTATATTTGGAGTTTGCGTGTCTCTCTCTTTCTCTTCCCGTCAGTCGCGTGGATTTTTCCCTGGGTCCTCCGGTTTTTCCCCCCCACCGCATTTAGAATAAACGTCACGCGTTTCGTGCATTTGGCTGCTGTGAATGTCCACGTGATGATGAGCCCATTTCGTTGAGCTATCATTTGTGTGCCAGGCCGCTTCTCAAAAAGGAGCTCTACATAGCTCAGTGGCGCCTTACCTGGTGAAAATTGAAAACAGTTTCGTTTAATTGTGGCCGGTGAAAGGTGAGAAGAAAGACGTCGGCGAGTGATGTCTCTGCCGTTTCTATTCTCTGCGGGGAAACGGGGGGTCCGATTTACGATGGCACGGTGTCCAGGAACTCGTTGTGACATCGCGAAAGCAGTGGGGCGGGGGGCAGGGGGGCAGGGGTGGGGGGCACCGCCTGTATTTGACTCGGATCTCCTGTTTGCAATGAAGCGCTCGTGCTGAGTGGCCACGTTCCGGGCTTAGGTGAATCCTGATGGATGGATCGAGAGGCACGGGGGGAGGGCGGTAATTTTTTTGTTATCCATTCACGTTGAAACGCTCCGATAAAATCGGGCGCGCGCGGGCGCGTTGTCGCGTGTTGCCGCGTGTTGTCACGTGTTGTCACGTGTTGTCGCGTGTTGTCGCGTGTTGCCGCGTCATCGCGATGGAAGACCGGGTTTGGGGGGAGGGGGTGGCAAGGCGGATCGTTGCGTCGTGCTTTGCGGCACGGCGAACGACGCGCTCGCCTTCATCCAGCGGTGGATCGATCGCGGGTTTCACGACGAGGAACGATTGCAGGCGTTGCGAGCCGTGCCGCGCGGTGATAATTCCCCGTTTGCGGGATTGATTTCCGTCGCTCTTAATCGCATCGGCGTGGGGAATTTTTTTGGTGAAATCGTTGGCACGTAGTGTTGTTGTGTTGTCGGCCCCCAAAATTTTGTTTTTTTTAATCCACGGCCCACAGTTGGCAATTGTTGAAATGAAATCAGGATTGCAGCAGTGGGGGGAGGAGGTCCTGAATTGGACAGGTTACGTAAGAAGGGAATGGCAAGTGTCGGCAGAACCGCTGTGTACAAATTGACGATGTCACGGCAGCAACGGAGCAAAGAGCGAATGTGGAGGGGGGTGGGGGGGGTTCATTTTAATCTTGTTTTTTTTGGGTTAGGTCACGTGAATACAAATGTGTCGTTGAACCCGCCTCCACCCGACACAGCCAATTAGTAAGGTTTGTCACGTGAACGGAACGTGGCCAATTCGTTTCTAGCGCAGCGCACCGGTGTGTTGGAGAGCAAAGCCACAACATGAACATTCTGAGTACTAAATATTCTGGATTTGCGCACGGCACGGATTCTGTGACTGTTCACGGTCGACGTTTGCCTTCAGGAGTATTTAATTAGCAGTAAGGAGGACGTGACTTGGTCGGAATGAGAGGTAGAGACCGTGCGGTTTGCTTATTTGCAAAGAGCCATAGATAATTTTTTGTTATATTTTTATCATTATATATTTCCCCCCTCACCCCGCCCCCGCTGTTGTCCCTTCCCAAGTTTTGTACAATGCTCGGAGCACCGCGGGCGGTTTGTCGATCGGGGGCGTGGGTTCACCGATTTTCAACGCAACTTCACGTGAACGTTTTTTGTTTTGCTTGCTCCGATCGGATGAACCTTCTGAGAAATCGTCAGTGCCTCCACTCCCTCCCCCCCCCCCACCCCCGCCCCAGCCGATGGTCGGACGGGAACGGATCTGACGCGTAAACGCTCGACAAATTCGGAGCGTTAAACGGTCGACGAGAACGCCGTTTTTCTGTTGAAAGTTTAATGCCGACAGAAATGGCACTGCAACTGCTGTGGCTGGCAAGCCACGATGTTTTTGAAGTATATCATCGCGACCTAGATCTGTTTGTCTATTTCTGATGTCCACAGATTCGCGATCGTAACGAGACCCATGGAATTAACAAAAACTAAAGTGAATTTGCGCGCCGATCTGCTCAATTCCCGTCAACAGCCCTGAGCCCGCGGTGGAAATTCCACATTGCTGTTGTGGGGATTCACTTTTCTTCGACTCGTACCAATTGTGCCACGCAAAAATAAAGATCCCCCCCCCCCCGCTGCCGTGTATCCTTCACACACAGGCTGTTCGGCAGCACCACTAGGGGCCGCCTTTGTCTCTCCAGACAGTGCCGACGTTGAAACATCACGCCACGGATTTGCTTCAGAGCTGAGTCGACCTATGGGAGGTCCCCCCCCCAATCAGAACTGCTTTTTCTGTGTTTAGTTTGTCCTTTCCCCCTCACCTCCGATGAGCACGGTTGGCTACGTACGGTGCCAATGAAGTTCAGCGTACACACACGTGCACCAGATTCAGCTACCGGTGTTTGCCAGCGGCGTTGCGCCTCGTGACCAGGAATTGAACCTGGAGTCCGGGATGTTGTAAGGAAAAGTGCGCACAGTCCACTGCTTCAGCGCCCGATGCATTTGCAGCGTTCGACCGTTAGCGTCGCCGTTCGTGCTCGGCAGAGAGAGAGGGGGGGGGGCATCGACATGGCAACGGCATTTTGGGTCAATTTCTAATTAGGTCAGCACCTTTCTCAATGTGTCATGGGTCAATTTCTAATTAGTTCAGGACCTTTCTAATTGTCTAATTGATCACGGGGAAAAAAAAAATTTGGGCCACCAGTAAGTTTGACTGCGTCCATGCCCCCCCCCCCCCCCCCCCGTTAATCTTGTGGCGCCGTGGTGGCAAGGGTGTTAACTGACTCGCCTGGTATACAGGAGGTCGTGGGCATCGATCCCAACCCTGACCGATGGCTGCTGCTGTACATTTTGAGCTTGCGTGTCGCTCTCGCCGCGGCCGCGTGGATTTTTCTCCTGGTCCTCCGTTTTTTTTTCGCCCCCCCCCCCCCTCCACACTTAGAATCGACGTCGCGCGTTTTCGAGTTGTTGGCTGCCGCTGCAAATGTCCTCG